ATTCGCTACAGATTCTTCAAAAGAAGTCAATACCATCTGGCATTACAAATCTGAACTAAGAGTTTGCCGTGTGGGTGCATATCATAGTAGATTACTCCTTGCCAAACCCACCAAACACACAACAAAGCCTTTCTGGTTGTCAAACTTGACTTGGAGACCGTTTGTGCTGGCTCACTGTAGGTCACACAATTACAATTTAAATAAATTCCTCCGGCAATAACCGATAGGGTAGCATAGCTCAGGGCTCCAAGTATTTTGCAAATTTATTTTTCTAATTGCAATCGCCTCTCACCTGGAAATGTCAAGCACTCGGAGAGTATTTCGTACATTAAAAATCCATCGGTCGTTCGGTGAGGGCTTAGAAAGAACTTTATGTCTCTCCATTTATTAGAAAAAAACATAAAAAAAAAAATTAAGAGAGATGCTCGGTTAAGAACAGCTTCAGAGGTTATAAATTGACTATTGTATATATATATAATATGTACTAAAACACACTTTTCTTTTGTTTAGATAAACGTTTAAAGAACGTACGAAAATCCAGTACACTTCTGAGCGTTAGTATTGCGTAATCGGATGTCGGGTCAAAATAGTCTCTGTTGATCTATAAAGCTAGTGACTGTATCATACTATTGTATCCCGTGGTTAGTTCAATTTAATTTTATTGCAAAAAATTTAATATCTCAGTGCGTGCATTTGAGCATCAACAACAATTTAATAATAGCTTCGCACATTTGCTTTAATTTTTCCCACTTTGCACAGCATGCAATTAAATTCATTCAAAAATTAAAAATACATAAAAATTTAATAATTATAAAATGGAAAATAGAAAATAAATAAGTTCTTTTTATCCGCCCACGGTTTGTTATTGTTGAATTTTTTTTTCATCGCACACATTTTGGCCGAAAATTAAAATAAAAAAGAAGTTAACATAAATTTAATATGAAAGCCATTAATGGTGGCGATTTCCAGCAGCCACAGTTATTTAGCCAGGTTTGAACCTTATTTAATTCGTAGTTAAGCCTGCAAATATGATTTTTATTGATAAACAAACTCAACATATAAACTTTTGAGTATACCAGAAATGTATGTATGTCTTCAGATTAGTTTTTGGAATGCAAGGCATATTTATGCAAAAAATTCCATAGAAACATAATCAAATATGGAATTTTTAATTATGTAAGTTTGACACAAGAAGCCGTAATTTTAATATATATTAAAATAATTATTTATGGCATGCCATTTAAAGATTGTGATTTTACTGTCAACACCTCGACTGAGGCCTGTATCAAATTAGCAACAAAGAGAGCAAACAAAATCTGAAAGGGGAAGGGTCTATATTATTTTTCCATTAAAAAAATTATTATTTATATATTTAAAATAATTTCTATAAAAATAATCATTTTACTTTTAAAATTTTTTGTTTCTGTTTAAAGAAAATTTTGCGCAAATCAAATAGGATACAGAAATTTAATAATACGGCTTTCCCACGGCATCGTGATTTACATTGTTCGTCCTCTCAGGCAATTGAGAGTTTTCTGTTTCGCTGTCTTACTTTCTTCTTCTAAACTTAAAGTTTTTGTACAAAGAAAAAAAAATATAATTGGTGTTGATATCCGCTTAGATATTATAGTTCCTTTAATAATTGCTAATTATTTCGTATTTAATGTACAAATAGTAAATCTTATAGGGTCTCTTCTGAGAAACAGCATCATTTTCGCAGAGAGAGCGCCAGCATTCCCAGACACATCACAAGTGGCACCCCTCAAGGAGGAGTTACATAGCTGTGGTGTCTAAGAGCGAACACGCTGATTAAGAAATTGCGCAACTCAGGATGTGGTGTAGTGGCATACGCTGATAACTTTGCCCTAACAGCGAAACGGTTCTTCTTACCAGAAGGCACAAACTGACTCCTTTTAGCCAACTAAACTAAAGGGCGTGGAGCTCACCCTCTCTACCAAGGTAAAGTATCTCGGCATAATCTTGGATGGCAAGTATCGTGAATTCGATATACACATCGGTAGTTAGACCAATCCTATTCTATGGGATCACCGTCTGTTGGCCGGCATTCGAGAAAATCACCTTCAGGAGCAAATTGGAGAGCGTTCAACGATCGGCGTCCATCCTGATAACGGGAGCTTTACCATCAACTCCCTCGAAAGCACTGCTACCATTTCAACATCCTTCCTTTGGACCTATACGGACAAGCGGGTTGAACCGCAATAAGATTAAATGCAATTCAATCTTGGAAGAATTGCAGTAGCTGGTCTACACCACCTCCAGTGTATGCTTCGATAATGTTTTTTCCACAAGAATCCCAAACAGATGCGTGTGGGAAGACACCAATGCCCCCGACAAGAGAGCAATAGCCATCTTCACAGACGGTCGGAGCTCGATGGGAGGATGGGTGAAAGCAGGAGCCTCAGCGGTATCACAATGGAACTATTGGGCTAAGTGTGCTGGGGTTTGATCAGCAGCCGCATTAGATCAACTCAACTCAAGAATACATTACTGAACAATATTTCAAAAATAAGTAAAGCATGGCAGCTGCAGTTGGAAATTTTTATTAAATAAAAATGGTCGGAATAATGTTTTAACTTCCTCAACTGTTAAGAGATTAATTGAAAATATTTAGGAAACAAGATCCGTTGAAGACTCCAAACATTCTGGTTGTCCAACTATAACATCGAGGTAGTGCATGAGAGTGTCAGTGACAATAAAGCAACCTCATTTCTGCGTAGCAGGCAAGAAATGTAAATTTCCAGAAGCTCTCTATAGATCTGTGTCTATTCTATGTAATAACAATCTTGCATTAATTTCAGGACACACTTTAAAAAGGCCTTGTTCCGTATGGCTTAAGGGTTCAACCCACTGATCAAAGAGGCCTGAAATTTGGAGGCATTCTAGTACCGATCTATGCGAAAAAATCGAATTTATTTTCAAATCTTTTGTTTCACATCCGATTTAGAACAGAGATAGCTTTGTTCTTAAACTGATTTGAGGAACACTTTTTCCTTCGGGGAGTGGTTATGGAAATGATCTAATCGAAAAGCTCGTATTTATAAATCGATTTACATAAATTTCGTTAAACATGTGTAGCTGACTCTTTGACAAGGTAATATTTCGAAGACTGGTGCATGGAGACGATTTATTTGAGAAATTCGAAATTTGGTTTACTTGATATCTTGAAAATTAATTACTCTTAGCCTAGGTAAATATGTGGTAAGCTTTTTGTTCAAGCATGGATCTTCCCATAATATTCGACAGCTTGCATTATTGTCGGCTTAGATTTTTGCCAGCACCAGGAACTGTAGAAAAACACAAGTTCCTAAGTATTGTAGTGTAAGCTTGACTTATAAACCTACTGGAGCAAACTCTTACTTTACAAATTTTGAAGAGCCAATGAGCTCAATAAACTCTCAACGCAACAAATGGAATGGTCACCCCCACACCATATCCAATTTCTCACATGGTCACCATCACCTCTAATTTTTTCCTATGGAGTTAAGAGCCAAAAAACTCTGTGAATAAATACCAAGCTATTATTTAAACCCCCTTCTATATCCTAAACATCCTCTCCCTGCTACCCCCCAATCTTAGACACAAATTATTACTATGGCGTGGTATTTGTTTGTAATATTTTTTTTTTATTTTTTTTTTTTTGCGTAAGCCATAATTAGCACGCTGAGCACACCCTCAAACTCTCGCACTCTCACCAGAAAATTTCTTAAAGTGTGCGTTTCTCCATATACGACTTTGTCTCATTTGGCATTTTCAAACAAAATAAAAACTACCCATCAATTAGTTAGTAAGGTTTTCTATTTTTCTTACCCTCTACTTACCAGCAAAAGATTTTTCCTTGGATTTGTTGTTATATGATTAGCTCCTGCCGATGTTTACTCATGCACAAAAATATATTACTTTGTTCCATATAGCGGATATGCGGTTGGATGGTTGGTTTGAAGACTGCTCTTGCTTCTCTTGCTGACTACAGTTGTCTTGCTGAATTTGTGTTTGTTGTAATTTATTAAGTAAGACTATTCATTGTTCGTTTCTTTCAACGTTTAACATTTATTATATTTTCTTTTGTGACTTTTATTTTTTTTATTATTAAATATATTTTCAGGTCAGTGACGATGATGATGATGATGCTGTGACCATTAATGAACGACCCATTTGTGGGGCATGAATTCCACGGTAGATTGTGGTAGCAACTATTGTTTGCTTGGAATTAACAATAGTGATGCTGGTGTTGGTGGTGTTGATAGCGGCAGCGTGCCAAACTCTTAATTACCAACCAAACCATACAAAGTGTCGACCAAACGATGACGTTGACTGACACCAACTGTGATGTTCGACACCACCGTTAATATGCGCAAGTTGTAAGTCAACTATGTGCTGTTAGTGCTGCTGTCGGCGTTAATTCGACAGCTTTGTTTAACAACGATTTCGTGTAGATTGACGTTTTGCGGCAGGCAATTAGAGTAGTGCCTGCTTTTTTTTTTTTGGTAGACACACTAATTTAGGCTATTAATATATATTTCGTTTTGTTTGTCGTTGATTTTTTGTGAGATTATGTGTTTTTTTGCTCATTACTCCACAGATTTTTTCCACTTTGGAGCTTAGATTAGTTGGTGAGAGCGAGGGATTTTCACTATAGATGTATATATATATATATATATTTTTTTTTTTGGAAAATTGTAATTACGGTTTTAATACTTAGAAGGTATGATGCTATTTGAGCACAAAAAAGAATCGCTGTTTTTTTTTGTTTTTGTATTTTTGCTATGAGTTTTTATTATCTTTTTAGGTGAGCAGCAACTTCTGCAGTAATTTTAATTTATTTGGAAATATTAGACTGTAATTTTTAGTTTTATTTAATTATGTTTTTGACATTTTTCTTTTATACCCAATTAAATGTTTCTAATATTTATTAAAGTTTAATCTTTCGCACACATTTTCGAAACAAAATTGGGAAAAAATCTACACTCAAATTGGTTCACTTTTTAATTATTTTAAAAATATATATACTCACGGAAATTAATCTTTTCCTGCCGCAACTGTTTCACTAAAAATTTAGCTTTATTTCTAACAATTTTTATGCAGCTTCAGATTTTTCTTTAAAGAATTTTTTAAAACTTTTTTTTTTTTATTTATATTTTAAGTTTAACTATTTATTTCTGTTAATATTTATTGCAAAATTCAGTTTTTAATGGCAGAATAAAGTTTGCTAGGTTTTTGTTTAAAAAATCCATCAATCAAATATATTTGCTCTTTTTTTGTATATTTTTTTTACATTTGCTATTTGCTTGATTTTAGGAAAATATTTTTAAATTGATTAATTTCTTTTACGACTCTCACTCACTTTGGCACAAAATTTTGAATTTGAATTTCTTTTAAATTTATTTTATAATATTGCACATACTTATTGCTGTGATTTTTGTATTATTAAATTTCTGCCTAAAATGTTTGTTAAAGTAGTTCTTTCTCTCTTAAAATCAAATTTGTAAGTTTTTAATTTTTTTTTAACTTTAAATTATTTATTCTTGTTAATTTGCCTTAAGCTCGCAAATTTTAATTTTTTCCCTTTAAGCGACTTTTAATTGTTTTAGCTTATTTTTTTATCTTTTTAATTATAAGTATTTTTTAATTAGCTTAAACTCACAATATTATTTTTTCAAGTGTTTATATACAGTTGGCGCTTTAAAGGCGCTGAAGTTGGCTTGAATTAATCTACACATGAAATTATGGCACTTCAGTTGTTTGAGAGTTTTTTTTTTTGTTTTTTTTTTTCAATTTTCTTTGAATAATTGTTGACAATTAAAATTTGTTTTAATATTTTTTTAGCTTTCGTAATTGATATTTTAACTTTTTTTTTTTTAAATTAAATCAAATAAGTATTTTTATTTGAATTTTCGAAATTTTATTCGTAATGATTTTACTTTTTAAATTTTTTATAACTTTTTCATGTTTATATTTTCTACGTATTATTTATAATTTTTTTTTAATTTTTATGTTTTCAACTTCAACAACGATTTCTTATCTATATTTATTTGAATTCTCAAGTAGTTGGTGTTAAACAAATTCCCAAGCTTTTCTTGATAGCAATGAGATTCTTAAGTTTAAATTACACTTAAAATTTATGCAATCGATTTTATTAGCAACAATTTTTAAATTTCTTATTTATATTTTTTTTTTGTTATTTTAAATATAAACTATTTTAGAAAATTTATTTGCACACTATTTTACTTAGCATATGTGAATACATTTGAGAGATATGTTTAAATTACCAGCTAACACGTTTAGATACATACATGTATGCCTATATACATATGTGTATATAATATGTATGTATGTATGTATATCTTTTACATTTTCGCCTTTGTAAGATTTTCTATTTCGAAAAATTGTTCCCATAAACGCTGCTGTAGTAACTGCATCTGTAAATTATATTGAAATTGCAAATTTAGTTTAACCACTGACACTTTCATATGCCTTCATTTTACTATATATGTATAGCAATAGTGGAAATTTTCACCATAAATTATAGTATTTTATTTCATTTTCACTTGGTTGTTGCACACTGAAACACACACACACATACACACACATAAAATAAGTTTTATACGATTGCAGCTGATTTATAGCGCCTGTTTTGGGCATCTTTCTCCTGCATCGCACACTATTGAACATTCACAATATCATTTTCAGTCACATTTGAAATTATTACAAATACAGCTTAACGAAAACGACGTGCTTGCTTTACCGTTAGGCCACAACTATGCTACCCGTCATTGCATACGATTTGTTTCGGCTCAAAGTAGCGCTCTCGCGTACACTCCACTACCACTACTACTACGACTACTACTACTTATACATGAGTACATTTGAAAAAGCAGAGCAAAACGAATCGCATAATGCACAAGCGCCCGCTCTCGCCCTCACTAAAACTGCAGTGACGAACTGGAAGCGGATAAACGAGTAGAAGCGACAGCATCGAGTTTACAATCGTCGTTTTAGCAGCAGCCTCCACTCCAATTTATTTAACACACATATATACATACGGAAATTTTGTACAATTCCTTACAGCGTGTGACGTAGATATTCCAAAAAAAAAAAATATCTCACAAAATATAAAGTGAATCTTTTGAAAAGGAATAAACTTACGCAACTTCACTTTTGTTATTCTCTAACTCAATAATAAAACCTTCTCATTTAATATTTTGTATTTTACTCATTACTTTGTTTTCTTCCATTATTCTTTGCGCTTTTCCTTACCTTTTGTTTTCCAAAAATTTTACAACCGAAATTTTAAAAATAAAAAGTCAACGAATCGTTTGCAAAGCTGCATTTGGCTGTTGAACTGTGCTGATCTAAAATGAGTGGAACTGGCTTGCGTGTCGGAACTTCTTAGAATTTGTGCACATGCAATATACTCGGGTTAGTATGTACATATGTATGAAATGGCATTGGCATAGTGCAAAAGGCAAAATGTTTGCCTGCAAGGGCATTGATGACGCGCTTAAGCTTTACTGTTATCGCATGCAAAAAAAACCGCCATTGCATGAGGATTTCTCGGGATTTAATGCTGTTAGTGCAACCATAATCAATGGTATGTATGCTTGCTTAGTTAGGGTTTGCTTGACTAAAGCTTAGTTGCGGCTACCAGGTAGGAGGTTTTTACTTTCCCTTTCCGAAGTAAAAACAAATTCTCTTAAATATTCATTGGGTTTAAATACAAATGGCTCTGATGACATAAACGCATATCGATTAGTATGTGAAAGAAAAACCAGGGAAAGATAAATATTCTCAAGTTTCTCATAGCAACATAAATATCCTTAACTTATATTCCTTAGAGTTCATAAAAAACAATCGGCCGCCGAGTGGTTACCATTAGCCTTTCGGTAGGTCAGGCTTCGAGTCCTGGTTCGACCAATATCCAAAATTATAGAAAATTAATTCTTTTAATTGCATTCTCCTCTAGTAGATATTCATTTGAAATATTCCTAAATATTAATGGCATTTTATGTGATTTGACAGAGTAGCGCTTGAAACTCAAACACATGAGCAAATAGCTGGTAAAACATTACTAATTTTGCTAAAAGATGCTCTATTGAATCACAACGCTTTGGTTATAGAAAAATGCCAAAGGCAATTGATGACATTTATTATATGACCCATGAGCTTGGTGGAATTTAAGCAAGTCCAGCGCCATGCAGCTGAAATATTTATTGAGCCAATAACTGGGGCTTGTGTTATTATATCGAGAAATACCCGAGATATACGCCTATGCTACGCTTGCTGATTAAAAAACTTATGTAAATTGCACAAAATTTGAAATTGAAACTGTTATTTAAAGGAAGAACTAATCGATAAGCAGTATAACTATACGCTAAGTGAAAAGAACATAGTTGAATACCCTTTTGATGGAATCTAAAATATTACCCTTACTTAGAAGGATAGTGGATTTCAGGAATTGAGCGATTTATTCAACAAAAATTCCTGTAAAAACCCCTTACTTTGATTTCATTACTCCCCTTTGCCTACAAATTTGAAAATACAACGTTGAGCTACACTGCCTTAGCTATTCTACTCAGTTCACCTGTTTATTATTTCATCATGCATATGCGCAATGATGATATTAAATGTCAGTTATTTGACCATCAACTGTTTCGAATTTAAGTACGAACCTGGTTAAAATCGAAGGAATTTCATCACAACGCAAATCAATTCGTACGATTTGCTATTTCGGTATCCAAACGATATGGCGCGATTTCCAACACATGCCGACTTGAGCTTGAGATTTCAAATAACTCGAAATTTTAATTGGAAATAAATAAAACAAAAACCGTCAGAGTTGCAGAAATTACTAAAATTACCACAATTTATGCAAATTTAACATAACTGTTAATCAAGAAATGTCGGAAAAAAATCATTCATTTTAGAATTTGAGGTCAAGAATAAATAATATTATGTATAATTATTGAAATTTTCTTTGGCTTCCCAATTTTCTATATATTTTTTCATTAGAAATACATATATATACAATTACAGTTTCTCTTTTTTTTACTTTTTGCCACGAATTAAAAGTCAAATGTATTAAAGTCGTCTACGCCAACAAGTCAAAGCCACCAAATATTTAATTGTAAAGATAAAGCGAATGGAGCGAAGGAGAACAAACTTGTTGACACTAGCAAATAAAATCGTTTTTCTACACCATCTCATCAACCGTTCACATTGTTGTAAAATAACAAATTGAGAATGAAAAGTGTAAAAGAAATTGTGGCAGGCAAATGTAAATGCGACATCCAACTGAGGCATATTTATAGGCGCGGTAGAGCGTTATGACAAATGTCGGCGCAATAGTCATCTAAACGACTAGTCACTCAGCCAACCAGCAAGTCGCTTCATGGCTGGATGGTTGACAGTAAGTAATAGTGTTTGTTGTTGCTGGTGAAAAGTGGCGGCGCGGCGTTATTTACGCGAAATGGCAGAGTCAGCGAAAATGGCAACGAAAAGTGAAAACAGCTTATAGCTGGCGTCGCACCCACACATGTGCATGTTTATACATACATACATACTTAACTGACAATCACAATACTGTGGCTAACAACACTAACAACAACAACAACGATAAAAACATAAATATATATGGAGGTTGTGCAACACAGCAAAGACGAAGATTGTGTTGACAAGTGGCTAAAACAATTGAAAACATTTGCTGTTCGCCACTGCGCGCAATCTTCTTTGTTGCGCTTTTTCACTATGGTTTCATTTTTTTATTTCTCTTTTTTTTTTTAATTTTCAACACTGATATTGCGGTATGTACATATATGAAGGTTTTTATATACAACGTTGTTTGCACAGTTTTTAGGTTTCCCTTATTGCATTTTCGCCTTGTGCTTTGTGTTTGGTTTTTTATCTTTTTTGAATTGCCATCATAAGAGTCCTCATGCTCTGCTACCTCGCGCTTAGTTGCAGTCACTAAGCGAGTCGAATTAGGGTAATTAATGCGCATTTGTGCTACGCGAATTTTGTACTTTTTGTTGCAGAAAATTCAATGATTTTGCTCTTCTTTTCCTCGGGGCAGTACGCTGGGAGCGAAAGCAAGGATATGTATATGTGCTCATATATATACTAGTTAATATTCGACATGGTAGGTAATGTATTTTCTGTTAGTGAAAATAATTATCAAAATGATTCCGCAAAGTCAGATTTTTCTTAACTGGAAAATTTTGGTTTTTCTGCTTTTTAGAATCTAAACCTTAATACCTTGAGGGAGAGCTTTACAATCACAAGACTGCAGTAGACTTGCAGATTAGAATGTAATTTTGGATCGTTTCTTAATAAAAAATATATCTAAAATAACCACTATTAAATCATGAGGGATAAGTGATCAAAGGATAGATGCCCAGAGTATGTTGAATTTATGGAGGGAGCACTCTCCAGCTTACTGTATGGCTGTAAAAATGGAACACCCCAAAACGCAAAAACCCCAATGGATGGCGATCGAAATCGAGAGACATTTTATTACCAGACTATAAGAAGCTTCGAATAGCGATTGCCCGCTCAAAGAACAACTAAGCGTCGCTCGTCAGCTGACGTGCAATGGCATATATCTATTCTAATCTCGTGACCAAGAACTGAAAAGGTACATACATCAAGGTTCTTTACAGTATATAGTCAAACAAAAAATTCTCCGATAATTAGAATTTAAGTGTACTCTTGCCAACCGCCAAGCCATAAAATTAGCCTTCTAAGCATCGCCTACAAGGCCTCACTGACCCAATTTTGGAACCTTATCAATAAGACTGATTGGATCATATCAATAAGACTTTAGACTTCGTTAATCAACCATTGACTAGGCACTCACCATGCGCCAAATGTTGGATATGACGCGCGAAAGTATGAACGACATCCACCACCTCTTCGTCGATTTAAAAGTAGCTTTCGGCTACGAAGAGGAGCTGTCTTAACGCCGCTTTGTCTGAATTTCATATCCACGCATAAGTTATACGGCTATTTTAACTGACGCTGAGCAGCACTAAAAGCTTCGTCGGGGCATCTGAAAGTCATTCGGCACCAAACAAAGCTTCAGACAGGAAGACTCTTTATCGTTTGGTTTTTTTTCATTTTTGCTGAAGAAAATAATACGAGCTGCAGAGCTGAGTAGCGAAGGCACAATCTTCTATATGAGTGTACAGCTGCTTGCGTACGCCGACGATATTGACATTATTGACCTCAACAACCGCGCCGTGAGTCCTACTTTCTACAGACTGGATAGGGAAGCGAAGAACATGGCTTATTTGGTGAATGAGGGCAAGCCGAAATATCTACTGTCATCAAACAAAGAGTCATTGCATTCGAGATTCGGCTCCTACGTCACTACTGACAGTCATAGCTTTGAAGTCGTAGATAACTTCATCTATCTTGGTACTAGAATTAACAAAAACAGCAACAGCAGCTTGGAAATGCAACGCAGAGTCACTCTTGCCAACATAGCACCGGAACAAATTAGGCAATTGTAAAGTTAAATCCCCTGTCGACAAGCAAAGACTAAACTCTACAACTCGCTCATCAGTTAATCAGATAAAATTTCGAGATAAAGATTTTGCGTAAGATTTATGGTGCTCTATGAGCTTGAAACGATGAACGGCTGCGCTGGCTAGGTTATATGGTCCGGACGGATAAGCATACTCCAGCTTTGAAAGCTTTTAATTTAGTACATGCCGCTGGAAGCAGATGAAGAGCTAGACCTACCCTCCAATGGAAGCATTGGTTGATGGTGAAGAATCTGTCTGTACTTGGTGATTCCAATGTAGGCTAAACAGCAGAAGGAAGAAATTAGTGGCGCAATATTTTGATTACTCGGCTATAATCGCTTAAGCGGTGTTTATGACAGTAATAAAGAAGAAGAAGATTTTGTTTCCATGTCTCATATTACTACATTAATTATAGATGGTCGTCTATATTTCTATAACTTTTTGGAACATATGTAAGTCTATGTGTAAATTTTGAGGTTATGGGATTGTCGAAATTCATTGTTTGCTTTGACAAAGTTCGCAAGGTTCGCTTGTTTTGATATAATAACTTTTAAAATTTGACAAAAAATACCGAAAAAGCTGAAACTTAATTTAATTTCATTAAATAAAGTGCAAAAAGTTGCCGTATTTAATGATTGAAGATCAATTTTGTTTCTACTTTCGTTTTTAATTAGTTTGCCTTAAAAAATAAATATTATTTGCTCTTAATAAAAGGTAGCACAAATAAAACCAAAAAATAAAAACTGACATTTATTTCTTTTTTTTTTGTTATTATTTACATAAGCTTTTTTCCAATAATTTTAGAAAAAAAATATTAAATTATTAAATTTGTATAATTTCCAATGTGACTTATGAAACAATTCTCTTTTTGTTGTTCTACCAACCCTTCCGTATAATTTACATTCATACATATGTACAAACGTACATTTGCGTTAAGAAAAACTCATAATATTATATATTTATATGATTATTATTTAAACTGATTTTTTTTTTTAATTTTCCACATCTTCTAGATACGCGAAATAATTCATATACAATCGTACGACATTTTCTGTATGGATCCTGAACATCCTCTTTTCGAGTGCCAAAAAACAACAACAACTTCCCGCACAAACTACTATTATTACACACCAATCTTACCAGCACTCGAAGAAAGGTAAGTAGCTTAAAAAAAAGTCCCATTGACCTGTATTTGAGCCACCACATTTTCACACGCCAACTGACGGGAAGATAAACGTTCGGCGATGTTGGAATGCAATCAGCCGAAACAGCGTATGAAAATTGAAATTACTTATACGCTACGGTGCCACCAAGCATTTACATACAAACATGTCTACGAATATTTGTTGTGAGTACATATGTACATAGTTGTGCATGTATATATACCTGATGTACTTAACAGTGAGTAGTTGCCGAAATGCAAGCATTGCAAGCATATAATTTACACCTTCCGAGGTAAATTAGATGAGCAAAGAAAAAAGTGAACAAGCAGAGAGAGAGAGAGCGATGGAGAGGGAGAGCGAGAGCGAGAGCGAAATACAAATAGCACAGCACAGTACAAATATACCAAATTTTTTATTTTTATTTTTTTCTAGCCAAGTGCAAGGGGTTTTCTGAATATTGCAGCAACCGCGAAATTTCAGCATTTTCACGCCTTCCACGCTGCCAAGCATGCATGAATAGGTTAACAAAGTAAACTAGATTCTGCCAACAATTTCCTGCTTGTTGCCATTTTTGTACATTCTTTTTGCTCAATTTTATTGCTGTTTGTATTGTGTTTTTTTTTTTTGTTTTTTCTGTATTTTTATTTATTTTTTATTGTGCTACTTGTAAAAGCGTCGATGGCTTTATGGCTGGCTATAATCAGCAATCATTGCACACACACACACACACACTTGCGCAAAAGTATAAAGTGTTCGTAAACTTGTGTATATGGCTAAAAAACATATGTACTTAAACCACATATATATGTATATGTACATGTAAATGTATGTATAATTGTGTGTCCGTCTGCATGCTCGTGAAGGCTGTTGCTAATTTCTTTCATTGCTTGTTTTTGTTTTAACGATGTTCTACATCGTCGCTGTTGCAATTTTCACCTCAAAGCATTTCTTGTTTTGTTAAAAAAAAAAGCTGATTTTTTTCTATTAAAAAATTGGCAAAAAAAAGTTGTGACCAAACACGCAAATATTGCGATTTTTTAATTGATTTTCAAACATTTTAAAGCATAAAAGCGTTAAAAAAATATTTTTTAAAACAAATTTTGTGTGTTTTTTTCACAACTTGAACTATATTTGCACAGTTTCTGGAAAACTTTCACACTTCGCATACGAACTTTCATTACACCTTCATTTAGTATACATATTTTAATTTTTTTTTATAATTTTGCTTTAATTATTTTCCTTTTTGAAATTTTTGCTCATTTTTTTTTTTTTTTTTTTCATTACCACTTACAGCGTCGCACGACTAGAATTTCGTATTTTTAAGACAACCACACTCGTTTGTAGCGAGAAACACTCTGACGCTGAGCTGGCTGCTTGCCTGGCTACTTGCTTACTTGACGCTTGTTTATACAATTCACATAGCTGTTGTTGTTACTGTTGTTGTTGATGTTGGCTGCCTGGCTGATTGCATGTCTGTGTGCAAAAATTCTGTTTCATTTATTGTTGCTGGCATTACTGCTGCTACTGACTGCTGCTTCTGTTGCTGCTGCTGCTGCTGCTGCGCGACATTGCAGTCAGCTGACTGCCGCACAACGCGAGGCCTCACACCGCTGTTCGCCGGTCTCTTTGGTAATATGTAGCAGCCCCAGCAGGTGATTGTCGCCTCCTCATGTGCTCGTGTTTACCCGGCAAAGCAGCATTCAAGTTGTAAAAGCTTGCAATTCAGTTTATGTTGTTATGGTGTTGGTTGCCACCACTATTGTTGTTGCCACTGTTGCTACATCGCAATAACATTTGGTGAGATGTTTCAGCATTCATTGCTCAGTGTTGCTCTCTTGTAGTTTAAACAGTAGAAGGGAGGGAGAGAGAGAGAGTATCTGAGAGCACTTTGTATTTCTCTGCTCATATGCCGAGCCGCAGCATCGTTGCGGTCATCTCAAATCAGGGGTTTCTTTACATCAATGAAGAACATTAATTAATGCTTTTAAGTTAAATGTAAATTTAATAATTTCAAAATTCTACGGAAATTTAGGGAGTATCAACATTTTACTACTTCATAAATGGTTTTAAAATTTCAAATTTTGGTATTGATTGTGCTGGCTCAGTCTGTCAATCAAGAGTATCATTTTGAGTATTTTGCATCATATCTAGACCTGTTTGCCATTAACATTACCACAGGCATAATAACAGACCACTGTTTAATGGGGCATCATGAGGAAAGAGGAGTCTTTTGAGCACTACCACTATTTTGACTGCCTCGCTGAGCTGGGTACAACACATATTAACAATATCGTTGCTTTTATAAGTCACACGAAAGTGTATGCATAATTGAGAGGTGCAGACAGGAGCTTCACAGTGGTATTGCAATAGTCCTAATATCCCAAGTGCGTTGGTCACTAACCAGCAGCGATACTAAATCAACTCAACTTTCACAAAAAGAACAAATTTATGGAAAAACAACTCATAATTTTTTCACATGCCACTGCATAATTTTTCATGAATTTCCCTATAACTATCTGCCTGTCTGGCTTCATGTGTCCCCTAATTATTCAATAAGTGTGAAAGAATGCTTCAAAGGTTTTAGAAATTAGTTTTAAGGTTTCTCATTTGACTGTGGTTAGCTCAGCCTTGCCAGTGGTTTCCTAAAATAACATCTATACGCTATTTCGGAAACTACAACAAAATATATTGTTTATAAACAGAAATAAACAATATATAAGAGTTGTGACAATAAAGTAATAATATTGTTTATATTGCTGCGATTTGGGTAACTCTGCGACTTTGAAATTTCCTTTCCCTTCTCCCGCATCCTTCTCATCCCCATTGATATATTTGCCATCGCTCTAGCTTTTTTAGTACGCCTGCTGCGTTGTGTTAAGTAAACATGTTTTCGTGGTGCTCGTTAAGAAAATGATGATTAGTCTTTTTTGATAGCCCTAAAATCGTCCACAAAGAATTTCTTCCTCCGGGTCAAACCGTAAATCAAGTCTACTATCGCCAAGTACTCGAAAGATTGTAAAACGAGGCAATAGGGTGCGCCCAGGAACCGCTCGTAACAGGATCCTTCATCATGACAAGGCGCAGTTCCATACCGCGCTCAGCGTGTACCAGTATTTGGCCTCTAAAAGGATCGCCGTGTTGCAACAACCACTTTATTCGCCCAATATGTCAGTCTGTGACTTTTATTGCTCCCTACAACAAACTCGGTGGCCAAAATAACCCCTTTTGAGTCGATTGAGGGCATCCAGGCGGCCCTGACGAGCGTACTCGCGGACATCCCAGTCGAAGCGTTCCAGAAATGTTACGAAGTATGAAAAACACGCTGGAATCGTTGTATAGCTGCCTAAGAGGTCCACTTTGAAGGGGATGGCAGAATTGTAAAATAGTTTTGAAATATACGGTTTTTATGGAGTCAGTCTCATTACTTAATAGTCACACCTTGTAAGTATCTACTCAAGTTTCTATTATAACACTTATTTACTTATCGTATGCTCTGTGGAAATGAAAGCCCTCTACCAGCCCCCGTTTCAGTGCGGTGAAAACCCTCATGCATCCTTTATTTGCCGGTAGTGTTAAGCTCATATTACTTTTGTATATACATACATATGTTTTCTTGTGATGTTGTAAGGGCTCCAATTTTAGGGATTTTGGGATCCTTAAACTTTAAACTTATGAACAAGCTACATTAACGCGGCAAATATTCTCTGCTAAGGTGTGAATATTTTCGGGTTTATCTGCGTAGACAAGTGGTTTCACATAGCCCCTCAGTAAATAGTTCAGGGGTGCTAGTTCCACGATCTAGGAAACTACGGTTCTGGCCTACAACGCGAGAAAAAGTGTCCTGCAATGAATTGATTGTTTCGTTGGTTGTTTGGCATGTAGCGTCGTTTTGTTGGAATTCGTTGACATTGACATCATCGTATACCCATAATTCGTCGTAATATTTTATTTCGAAGTCTCCCTGAGCCGACTACACCATACGTGTATGGTAGGACGTGCTACTCAAGGAGGTTGGTTTTTGTTCGTCGAGAGAGAATTTTACTCAGCCCCAAGTAGCAAAGGTTGGCAAAAGATATTATGCTCTGGATTTCAAGACTGCAACTAGTAGTGGTGTTTATGCTGGTATCTAAATAGACGAAATTGTCTACTACCTCGAAGTTATTAGTGTCAACAGCGGCATGGGACCCAAGTGACAAATGCGATTATTGCTTATTTAATGAAAGCAGACATTTTGTCTTGTTCTCGTTTCCTTAGTTTCTTTATCAAGTCCGCAACGGTGTGGTTAGCATTGCCTACTGCCATTTGGAAGGCTCGGTTTCAAATCCTGGTGTCGTACTAAAATCCAAAAACTTATGGAAAATTAATTTTAATTAAAAAATTAAGCTAAATTTTCAAATTGAGGTCCCCTCGGCAAGGAATGGCAACCCCTCCGAGTGTATTTCTGACATGAAATTAAGACTTCTGAAAAAAAAACCATCAGCCACTTGGCAACGGTCCGTATAAACGTAGGTCCTTCCATTTACTTGTAAAATATCAAGACGCTCACCACGAATTAGAGGAGAAACTCGGCCGAAAATCGTTTCAGCGGTTACAAAGCATGAATTATGAATATGTTAACGTATTTGTCAAAGATTAACAAACACAAGATAAAGATTCATCTGAATTCCACTGACTTATTCCAAACGATTTTGTAATGTAAAATCCTTTGAATTAAAAAAAAATGCTGCTGGCAGCACACCTGACTCTTGGTGAGCACAATAACAGCTCTTAAACATAATAATTTAAAAGAGTAATGAATTAATTTAATAAATAATTTGAATTGAAAAGAGGTTTGAAAAACGAAAGTACGGTTATATACAGAAAACGAAAATATAGCAAAAAAAGAGCGCATAATTTTTTACAAAAATGTTTCATTACTGACAAAATGTTCATCATACGCCCTGTAGATCCAGCGCATATTCACGCAAGTTACATTCAAGTAAGTTAACTGCCTTTGCTTGTACGCAGACAGTAGACGGTAAGTTACTCATTTTTCATGACATATGGATTTGTTTGCTGTGAACTACGAGCAATTTAATTCTTTATTCATTTTGTAGCAAAATAGGCAATAGCCAACATTGGGTAAATTCCTAAGAGCAGTAACGCGTTTGAACTTGCACACCTACCTCATTCATTTCATGAAGCATGAAGTTCATATTTCCTTACCCTTATGATTACTACTAACTGTGTCATCTATTTTATCGCTGTATTTTAAAGGCATTTAAAATGAAGCAAGGAAGTACTGATTTTGACTACACTCATTAAGTACTCCTCACTTTGCTTTAAAAATGCAAAAATCTCATAATGAAGCTATGTAAAAATGCAAATATGTAAATGTAATGTAAATATTTCTAAATAAGGGTGTACTTCTGACATGAAAATTATGGCTTCTCACAAAATGCCCCCAAATCGCTCGGAGAAGGCAACTAGAGGTCTTCTATTATCTAGAAGTATACCAAAAATTTGGAGTTAGTGCTTAACAGAGTCTTCTCTTAGCTAGGCGCACTTAAACCAGCTAAACTCTGACATCTACTTATGTCTGCCTATTAGGTAGCCGTGCTTTCGAGCGCTCCTGCAATCTCCCGAGTTGTCATATGTCAGTTAGTCTTAATTAAGGGCTCTGTAGTCCAAAATTATTTGAATTTTTTTTAAGCAAATACCTTCGTAGGAGTTCCAACTGTACCAATATTTTCCCAACTCTCAATTTCTTATAGCAGCGCGGGTCCCATCCATTTCATTATGGTGGTACTCAATATTTTTATAGATTATTTCTCTACCATAAGATAACTTTAATAATAATAAAAAAAAGTTTTTACAATTTTTACTAGGTTTGATAGTAGAAAAACAACTCAAATCGTCGCAGCAGTGAGAAGGTTATCGCAAAATAATTCATTCTAAATTTTAAGCAGCAGGGAGATAGATTGAACCTAAATCATATTACCAAAAATAGTTATTACTCCAGATTGCTCAAAATATCAACGTTGCAACTGCATTCGTAGCAATCACTTTAACGCTTGCATCTCTCAGCTCACTGCATTTATCTCATTATACATTCGTGAGAGTAAAATACGAGTGCTCGCTGTGAGCTACCTTCTGCAGCACGAGTTCTTTACGAGCTTAATGCATCTCGTGAAGTCATTGCGAAAAGCAACAGAAAGTCTGCGGGCAAAAGCGTTGAAGGAGCAACAAAATACTAAAACAACCAGCACGTATCTCCAACACTCTTTAAGAGTTCATTTGTCAAATGTTCGTAATCATGCACTTTATTTTATTACACCTACTGGTTAGTGATTAAAAGTTTATAATTAAGTTTTCAACATAATAAATGCACTCTCCACATCGAGGTCTTATTTTTCTTTAAGTACAATACATTTTATAGATTAAATCAA